CCACCACTACCACCCCTTACCACACCAAAAACTACCACCCCCCATTTCCAAATACCCCCTTTTTAACCAGGGGTTTTTTTAAGGGAAAAAAATGGTTATTAGAAATTTAGGGATGTCGGCGGGCGGCGGGCGGGGGCGGATGGCGGACGGGCGGGGTAAACAATTTTTTCTGTGCGGGAAATCCTCCCACATTTTTCAACGGATTTTTACCAAAAATTTTAAAAGAAGCTTTGTATTTAAGTGCCCGGGGTATTGTCGGGGGTTTTTCGATTAAAATAATTTTTTGAACCTAATTATGGCCCCTTTTTTTTTTTTCCCTTAAAATAAAATATATAGTGAACAATTTTTTTCCTAAGGGGCGCAACTTTCCCCCTACATTTCTCCCAAAGGGGTTTTGACCAAACCCTTTTTCAGAAGCTTTTTCAAACAATGCCCTGACACCCTATTGCCAGGGTTTTTTGATTTTTATATATTTGACCTAATTATTGGCCCTTTGTTTTTTTTCCTTAATATAGAATATATTAGTGAAACAATTTCTTCTGTGCGCAAACTCTCCTCCTACATTTCTCAACGGATTTTGACCAAACTTTCACAGAAGCTTTGTCAATCAAGATGCCCTGGCGCATAATTGTCGGGGTTTTGCTGATTAGGATAATATTTTGACCTAATTATGGCCCTTTGTTTTTTTTCCTTATATAAAATATATAGTGGGAACCCAATTTTCTTCTGCTGCACAACTCCTCCTACATTTCTCAACGGATTTTGACCAAACTTTTTCAGAAGCTTTGTCATCAAGTGCCCTGACACATATTGGCCAGGGTTTTTGCGAATTGGTAATATTTGACCTAATTTATGGCCCTTTGGTTTTTTTCCTTATAAAGAATATATAGTGAACAATTTCTTCTGTTGCACAACTCACTCCTACATTTCTCAACGGATTTTGACCAAACTTTCTTAGAAGCCTTTGTTTTCAAGTGCCTGGCACATATTGTCAGGGTTTTGTGATTGGATAATATTTGACCCCAGAATTATGGCCCTTTGATATATTTTTTCCTTTATACAGAATATATAGAGAACAATTTCTTCTGTGCTCAACTCCTCCTACATTTCTCAACGGATTTTTGACCAAACTTTCGTTAGAAGCTTTGTTTTCAAGTGCCTAGGCACATATTGTCGGGGTTTTGTGAATTGGATTAATATTTGACCGAAATTATGGCCCCTTTGTATATTTTTTTCCTTATTACAGGGAATATATAGTGAACAATTTCTACAGTGCGCAACTTCTCCTACATTTCTCAATGGATTTTGACCAAACTTTCACAAGCTTTGTCATCAAGTGCCCTGGCGCTCACCTAAATTCCCATGTTTCTTTCCAAGACAGTCATTCAAGTATTTTTTTAAAATTGTGAACATACCTATATTTTCATTGATATCGTACACAAAACACCACACGCCAATGGCATGAATATTGTTGACAAAAGAAAATGACAAGGAGACGCAAGAAAAGATCCGGTCCAAAAAGGTTAAGCAAAAATAAAGTACTAGTTTAAACCTTTTCTAAAAACAATTTGGGAAAAAAAAGGCGAATAGACAAACATAAAATTTCTCAATCATTTTTGTATTGAGGAATATTAAAAAAAGCCATAATTCCTCCTAAAAAGTTCAATTAAAAAAAACAAATGCCCCTTCATGAAAAAGCTTCTGCTTGAAATATTTTTGCTAAAACCTTGGTTGCCATTTATTTTTATTTATTTATTTATTATTTATTATTTTTGTATTTTTTTTATTTATTTACCTTTTTAAAATTTATATTGTATATTTGTATTGTATTTATAATTACAGTTAGAAAATGACACTTTAGTCATTGGTAAAGATGATGTAAGAAAAGTACTAGACGATGTGGCAAAGGCAATACAAGACAAGATGAAGGCTGGATTAGACGAGCAATATGACAGAATTAAACTAGATATGATAAAAAGAAAACAAGAAGATCTTCTATCTCTTCAGTCACAATTAAAAGATGAAGCTGATGCTTCTGTTAAAAGACTGCATGAAGAACTGGACAAAGCAGGTGTGAAACTTCATGAACAAGGGGATAAAGAACGAGCAGACCTGGCTGGATTAGGAGAGACGTTACAAAAAGCACTGAAAATAGCAAGTAAAGACGAGAAAGAAAAAGGATATATTGATTCTAAACAAAGTAAGTGATATTAATCACATAACTTCATTTGTTTTCTATATTATATTAATAAACGTATTCCTTTGTACTTCACCTCTTACAACATATAACCATATTGAAACTTCAGTTTTGCACCATATGATGTTCTAATATCATCAATTCATTATTTGATCCAATCTTATTAATCTTATGTTCATTTCCTGAGTCCAGAAGTCTGTATCAATGCAAATTTTACGACAAATAGCATCGCTTTTATCCCCAAAAATAAAATCTATTTCAAATTCATTTTATAAACCACAAGCCTCGTTGTCAGTTTCTGTGTCAAAAACGTTCATATCAAATTCATATTGTACTCTAAGAAACTACATTGTAACAGACATTTTTGTAATACTGAAACGCCATAATTGTTGATCATGAGTATTTGTATGCCCCCCATTCGAAGAAAAGGGGTATATTGTTTTGCTTATGTCGTCGTCGGTCGGTCTGTATGTCTGTCGGTCTGTCCGTCTGTAGACAACATTGTTTCCGCTGATAATCTTGAAAACTATATATCACAAGGTCAAAGTCAGAGTTACCATAAACTATAAAATAGTTTCCGCTGATTATCTTGAAAACTATTAATAATGTCAATGTCTTTATATACCACATACTGATTGGTCATAACTAGTAGATGACCCCTATTGATTTTGGTCATTATGTCGAAGGTCAAGGTCACAGTGGCCTTAAATGTTAGAATGGTTTCCGCTGATTTATTGAAAGTTATTCATCACAAAGTCTTCATATTTCATATACTAGTAGTGATTGGTCATAACTAGTAAACGACCCCTTATTGATTTTGGGGTTACTAGGTCAAGGTCACAGGGACCTTAAATGTCAGAATGTTTTCCGCTGATTATATAGAAAACTTTTCATCACAAAATTTCATATTTCACTTACTGATCGGTGGTAACTAGAAAATGACCCCTATTGATGTTGGGGTCACTAGGTCAAAGGTAAAGGTCACAGGGGCGCTGTATGTAAGAATGGTTTCCGCTGATTATCTTGAAAATTATTCATCACGAAGTCTTCATGTTTGACATACTGATTAGTCATAACGAGTTAATGATGGCTATTGATTTTGGGGTTACTTGGTCAAAGTTCAAGGTCACAGGGGCCTTTAATATCAGAATGGTTTCTGCTGGTAATCTTAAAAACTATATATCACAAAGTCTTCATATTTACCATACAGATTGGTCATTATACTAGTAGATGACCTCTATTGACTTTATGGTCTCAAGGTCAGAGGTCAAGGTCACAGGTGCATTAAATGTCAGAATGGTTTCGGCTCATTATCTTAAAAACTATTTACCACAAACTCTTCATATTTCACATATTGATTGGCCAGATGATGACCCTTATTGATTTTTTGGGTCAAATGTCAAGGTCACAGGGGCTTTAAATGTAAAAATTGTTACATTTATATGACACTATATATATATTTTATTCCAGCTACCCTCATACAATGACAGCTTTTTTTCAGTTTCAGGTCATATATTGGCCATATTTTCGTTTCCATATCTTAACTCTTCCATGTACCCATTTATAGCATGTTTCTACAACATAATTACTAATAGTATGAGTCGAGGGCTAGAAAGGGGGGGCATATGTGTTGTTCGACATTTCTCGTCTTTAATTCAATTTGTTTTCCCTGAAGCATTAGTTGTGAAAATAAATCGTTAAACATTGTTGTATACCATACTATTCTAGCCAGCATATTTTATCACAATGCTAATATATGATTACCAATGTCAATACGAGGGAAACAGGGCAAATGCAGAAAAGGAAAGGTCAATGTACGTACTTTTGCCAATACGAAGCGTTGATAGGAATTTAAAGAATGAAAGTCGCTATTTTGTTTCAAAAAGTAAATAAATAAAAAACACAAAAAATTAAAAAGATACAAATGTCTTTTGACCAAATAACAGGTCAATATGAAATCACCCGATCATGATCATACTCACCATTCCCCAACGATACTAAATGCTTCCGAGGGATCACTTTGTTTCCAGATTTTTGTATGTACGACGGCCTGACACTTTTTATACGATGACTTGAGAAGGAATAAATCTTTGTTTATTTTATTTGCTAGGGCCATTGCCCATGGACAGTAGATAGCAAATACAGATGTTTTATATCAAGGTAACCATGACACTTCATGTAATTTTTTTTCGGATGAATAATTTAGAGTGATTAAGCCGCGGTTATTATAACATAGAAAGATCATTGCACCTGATCAGTAGATGACATCAAATAATTTTGAGGTCACTGGGTCAAAAATTAGGGTCACAGTGACGCTAAATGTAAAATCACTAGCACTAGGAAAATTAATATAAATCGGGAAATCTGATTGGTTTTTTATCTCGTGCAAACGACTTAATTATCTGTTCCAACGACTTAGTAACTCGTGGCCACGACGTAGTATCTCGTTCCCTTGACTTAATTATCTCGTGCAGGCCTACGACTAAGTAACTCGTGCTCATGAGATAAATAAAACACACACATTTAACCTTTGTGTCACCGTAACAAGATTATATACAGCCGAGACTCTTTCTAAAATATATTTCATGTTTCTTTAAAAAAAAATATCATTATGGAACGCCATAACCGCCTCCTATATATATTCGAAAGTGTTGATAATATGTTGTGATTTTGCTAATTTATGATGTCGTTATTGTCGTATGGTGATATATTTATCGTTATATGGTGCTGTCGTTTGGATAGATGGTGCTCTCATTTTCATATATGTGTAGTGGAATGCAAAAATGGGGCTTCTTGACGTTGACGTCGTTATCGAGAAAATGCGAGATCTTTGACGCCATTTTTTTCCACATTATTTTCCGTTCATCTGGCAGTAAAACAGCGCTTAATTATATTAAATTAAATGACTTGCCAGCACATGGGGTCCTGATTCCATACAGATAATCAACGGCAAAAATAATTTGCTACCGTTCATCCTATGACAGCAAAGTAAAATTATCAAGGGAAAAGATTTTTACGAGGACCACTGATTACGTCATCTGACATTGATTGTTGATAAAATATTGGTGAATTGATTCGATGTTTTTTTGGTGTTTTAAGAATATTTTTACACTGACAACGTCTGCTTTTGACAAAACTTATATATAACTGGATTATTCGGGTTAGGTGAGTATTTATTTGTTCTAGTATTTTTGCTTAAATATGTATTTTATCGGAAAATAATTATACCCGGAAGTAGAAACAATTGCAGTTCCTGGAACAACGGTTTGTTGATAGCAACATGGAAAATGCCAGCCAAGTAATTTTTTACTTAAAGCAATTAAAACCAAAATTTATGTAATTAATCTCTTAGATAAAACAATCATCAAAGTGAGGAAATTCAAGATTTTCAAGAATTTAATCTTTACTTTTCTTCTTCCATGCATAAAAAATTTGAGCTGTTGAAAACTTGTATCTCAAAAGTGAAAAATATATTTCTGGCACCATTGTTTGAGCTGTTAAAATTTTTCAGATCTTTAAAATTAAAAATATGGAGATGTTGCAGTTTCCATAACTTCAAATAACAAGAATCAATAAATTGAGGGTATTGAATGAGTGCATAGACAAATATTTTTTCATTGACACAACTAGACTATAGTGTAACGCTTACACTTAGCATGTATTTCCACTATGTTTCTGTAAGGCATACTGGTCGGAGACCATCAACCGGACACTTATGGAACATTTTTTCATACATATTTCATAATTTTTCACCTAGAGACCGAAAAATTTGACACAGTTCAGCTAGGTTCTTCTCCTAACTAACAAACTAGTTTGTTTATTTCTGATTGTATTGACACTTATATCTGAGGCTCGACAAGGAGGGTATTAAAATTACCTAAATTGTCTACACTACAGTACCATGTGTCCGGACAGATATGAACATGACGTGGTTTAATTCAGATAAAAGCTTGGGTGTTTTGATTTTTGATTTTTTACATTACATACAATATATCAGCAACAAATGCTGAAGTTTTGGATATTCTATTATTCACTCTGCAAATGCTTATAGCTGGTATATTAGGTCAGGCCTTTCTTTCTTGATCCCCAAATTTGAACGTCAACATTCTTGAAATAGACGTTAAAAATACCTTTTACGGAGAATGAAATAAATTTATTTACTTAATTTTAGAAGAACCATGCGATTTATTGTTGGTAAAGTGACTGACAACCACTGGACAAAGAAAATACTAAATTAAAGCATTTTCGGGGCCGTCCGGGTTTGGTGGTTGTCCGGTTTTGGTGGTCCCCAACCAGTATGATGTCACATAAAAATATCAAAATGTTTGTTCACACTTAGAAGCACATCAATGATTACCTAAGCCTGAACTTGTTTGAAATGATTTAACTAATATTTTAATTAAAAAAAGTCACAGTCCTATGACAAGCTTTCTAGAAAGGATACTTATTAAAGGAATCATATCTGCAGGTGCCTTATTAGCAAAACCTGAGGACCTCAGGAAAATCTGACTGTTCTATATATTGTAAAAACTGTTATATCAATAAAACATAATTTATAAATTTAACTACTGTACATTTCAGGCACTTCACCATGCACTCTTGATGTAAGTACTCCAACATTTGGGATTATGCCCAACAAGTGCACTTTTCCCATCATTCTCAACCGGTTGGTCCAATATGTTTTAGGACACCAAGAATGTTCCATGTGTTTGGTGTTTGTGTAGAGAGATCAGGTAAGTTTGCCCATAACATTTTTTGACATATTTTTTCATGTGCATATTGTAAAAACATGTTTAAAAATATTATCAAGGTAGATTTCTATATATTTTTCTTGTCAGATGTGTTCCTTTGCCATGAATTTTATTATTATTCTCCTATGCCATAGTATTTTCAGTTGCAAAAAGAATATTCAGTTAAATATAATCTTATTTTTAAGTATTATTTACTTAAGCACTATTTATATCCTATGCAAACTTTTTAAATTTCCAATTTATATGTATTTT